TATTTGTATATATTGAATTAATTTTATTAGATGACTAGTTATTTATATGTTTTTGAATTGGATTACATTAATTTGTAAAAGTTACGAATGAAATGTTCGTATTTATGTAGTGTTACTGTAAATATTAAAAAAATTAATTATGGTACGGAACGGAACCGAACCCGAACGGTTCCATAATTATATTTGGACCCGACGGTTCTATTTATTAAATACCTGAAAGTTTTGGGTCGGTTTGGTTCTCTTTAGAACCGAACCGAATCGACCCACGGACAACCCTAATTTACACAATCAAAACTTAAATGAAACACACACAATTTCTTCCCATCATTTATGCCAAAGGGGTAGTGGGTTTATTTCATGGCGGTATAACGATGAATGTTATGAAAGTATAAAACTCAATTACGCCACCATAATTTTCATGACTGTGTAACAATGATTGTTATAAATATTGAGATCAATGTCGATGGTGGCTTAATAATGAATGTTTCAAGTGGTGGTGGCATCCACGTGACTATAGAAATAGATGCAATATGTCTACACTATAATTGTGTTACAAGTTATGACATTAATAAAAACAAGATGTTGAAATGTGCGTAACATAATTTTACAAAAAAGTAACACATTGTGCTACAAAATATATATAAAAATTTAAAACAAAAAATAATAAAAGAGCAGTATTTTGAGAATAAAAAAGTGAAAAAGTAAATATGAAATTAGTAAACTTTTTTGGATCTCACTACATGTACATCAAATTTATATAATGGATTACATAATATCACATGACACTTTATCATTTGCTAGTTTAAATACAATCAATTTTTCCACACAATATTTTCCATCCACATCTTATTATGTAATTCATTATGTACATTTTTATATTCAAGTAACAAAATCGAACTTTTTAAATTTATTCGTGAACTGTTCCCCATACCCTGAGGGTATGTTTGACAACCATTTTTGTGAAGAATAATTCTGGAATAGTGATTGATGGGAAGAATGTGTGGTTGAAAAATAAGAAGAATTTTTGGGTTTATGTGTAATATTATTTTATTGATAGAATGTGTGGTTGAAATAAAGAAAGAAAAAAAAAATGAAAAAAAGAATGGGAAGAGAATGGATGTCAAACGGGGGCTCATATTATTTTGGTCGATGAGTTCAAGAAATAAACAAGTCCACCTATCTAAGAAATGGGTTCAGAAAAATCAGATTTTTTTTGACAACAAAAATAAATGTGTGCCAAGACCCGCCTAGGCTCACATTAGGTGGTCACGTACAGAGTTGACTACCTTTTCGCAAGCCTAAGCCTTAGGTGGGGTGCTTCCACTATGCTTCATTCCTAAGAGCTGCCTAGATGCGTTTTCTAGAGCAATGATTAATATCCAAGCCCTTACAACCTTTAGTAGTCCATAGTCCTAGGGTCTCCTTGGTCACATTACAAATTATTCGAAGTTAACCTCTACTTTTGGGTTTTTTGGGTGTACAAAAGTTAAAAGATTGCTAATGTTTATTTTCTTCTACAATTTTATCGTGGAGCCAAAGAATTATATACATAGGAATTTGTTAGGTTTTAAGTTGTATTGACAATTGTTTAGACAAAATAATTATTATAAAAGAGTTGTAAAAGTCAAGGAGTGTTTTAAGGTGCTGCATAGATTAATTATGAGTCTTTGAGTTCGAGTATGAAACATTTAGAAAGAGTTGTCGGATTTACGCTAGTCGGTTACCAAATTGATGTTTGAACGAAATAAACAGAATCATTGTCGCCCTCCTATCGCTAGAACAACTATATTTTTCGAGGAATTCTAGTTCGCGATTTTCAAGAATTCTATATTACCAAATACCTCATATTATAAATACACATGCCCATTATGTTTTTAGGGGTGGTTAATCATTATAATATATTCTCATAACATCATTCCAAGATCTAAGAATATATCCAAACATTGAGATTAAACTTTTGATTCTTGAGATCAATTAACCACAAGTTGGGAAAAATATCAAATTCAAATTATCTAAAACACCATTTCCTTAATATAATCAGGAATGTATTTTCTCAATAGCTTTCAAAGGTTATTGAAGATTGAGGGATGTTGGATTAGAAATTTAGGAAGAGTACAAGAACAAAGTGTTTTTGGCGATCCACAGGAGCTAGACAATTTCAGAAGATCGGGAGCAAGTATGAGTAAAGTACCACTACGCCAAAAACAATCATTTGTAACACATAAAAGACAACATTCGGTAGTTAAATATTGTTAAATGGGTCTATCGCAACAATCTAATACGTGAATGTTGCCATTGCTTAACAAAATTGAGATTTGACAACATTTTTTAAGTGAATGTTGCTAATGTAACATTTTTGCAACGATGTTTTATTGTTCGAAATTTTTTATTTTTCGCAACGTTTAAAATGTTGCGAAAAGAGTTTTTTGCAACGTTTTTTAAACATTGCGAAAGATACTTTACGCAATTTTTTTTAATTTTTTGGGATAGTATTGTCCCACAACCCTCCAAATCATCAAAAAGTCTCTCCAAGCGAATTTGGCCCCTTTTCAGCTGCTCATTTTCGACGTTGGTACCGGTGGGAAGCCTCCAATCTCCTGTTCAATTCACACCAAAAATCACTGCCAAAATCGAAACACAAAGTGCCCAACTTGAAAATCTGAACTGCCACCTCCGGCTAGCAACTTCACCGAAGCTCACCACTGGAACATTGCTCAGACCCAAACGACCTCAACCATGGTTCCAATTTACCCCAAACAACATCTACACAATCTGAATTAATCAAAGATATACCATCAGTCGCGAAGCCCTTTACGCCAGGTCCAAAATTTTCAAATTCCGGCTCATCCGGTTGACCCAAGGTCGCGGACCACATAGGTCGAACTCCTCTTCACCGGTGCTTCTCTCCCAACATTGTGTCAGGATCAATTTTGCCCAGAAGTTGACGAATTCATCCCAGAAGGTTTTTCTTTCCCGTTTACAAATTTTCCCCGTGATGTAGCATCTGGTCTATGACATACGTTATTTCATTTCAATTCAATTCTTTGTCGTTACATATCTTATTCCATTTTCATTTAGAATTTAATAACTTCATATCCCTTTGTATGATTGCATTGCAGATATATCACTGTGCAGCCATCTGAAATTCGTGAAAATGTGCAGTGCCCAATATGTCTAGGTATTTTTGCTCCTCCTTCGGTTTATAATTCACGTATTTCCCTCTTGAACTCTTGGTAGAATTTCAATGAGATTTTTCCTATGCAGTGTGGTTAATATGTTTAGGTTATTTTTGCTTTTCAATATTATACTTGAAGTATTGTCTTTTCAATTATTTGCTTAAATGTTGTCTAAGGAATATTATACTTCTTCAAAACTGTGTTTACAAAATTTTCCCTCGTTTTCAGTATGTTCGTGTTGAAACCTAAATACCTTGAATTTTTCTGTCTTTTCTTATTCTTTTCTTAACTTCTTTCTTATTTTTTTTCTTGTGGGTAGAATTCTTATCTTGGTGAACTATCATGTAAAGAAACATTTTATGGTAAAAATATTGGAGAAGTATGTATTTTTCCACATCCTTCCATGTTCAGAGAACGTATTCCATGTAATACCTTAAAATAACATTTTTTCCCACTTAGCTCTTGTTTAGAGATTGAGCAGAGAATGTAACGTATATTCCCCAAAATTTGTTATTTGTATGTGATGCTAAGTATTATGGGTACAAAATAGAGTTTTTTCTAATTTGTTGCTTCTAACGGTCTAAATCTGCATATATAAGGTCCATCACCAAATTCATTTCTTGAATATGCAAACTAGTATTAGAATAATATGACTCGCTTGAGGCTCGAACTTTTTCGCTGCTAAGTTTGATTTTTAGTCGGTGTGGTATGTTTTATGGTTGAGATATTTAGTCCAAAGCCAAAGGTGTGATCTTGCATTTTTGTTCCTCTATACCTAGTCCTGCAAGATATGTTGCAGCTATTTTGGCTTCTTGTGCCAATAATGTAAGTTTGTGATTTTTAAAGCCTAAGTTGTTAAGCTCGTATTATAGCCAGTTTGCCAGGACACATGCTCAGGTTGTTTGAATATTTCGAAAGCCAGCTACCAATTCATAAGCTGTATACAGTAAATGAAATTTTGAGGAGATGGCACATCGTATATAAAGTCACGACTCACGAGAAGTAATCAACTAATACTGAGAATTTGTCGAATAGATTTAATAATTTATATTTTAATTGCTTTTCTTTATGTACTTTGATTAGTAAATAAAGCAAAGCCAGGATGATGGAGGCGATGAGGTGACATGGAGAATTTCTCCAGTAAATGAGCGGCTCCATTCTATGTCAAAGCACTTTCCAGAGATGATCAAAGTCTTGGCAGATTCTTCAAGGTTAAACGCCATAAATTTTCAGCAATGTTCACAGAAAAATGTACATGTTTCCAGATTTTATTTTGGTCTCGTCCTCNTCTCCATAAATTTTCAGCAATGTTCACAGTAAAAGGTACATGTTTCTAGATTTTTTTTTGGTCTCGTCCTCCTTGCAGTACTATTTATAGCTCATATTGGCAGGTGCTAGCTTCTCGTGGTGAGTTAGGGAATCTAGAAAAGTGGCTCACTTCCCCTCCACTAAAGGCAGATGAAAAATCTTTGATATTCTCGGATTGGGTTACCTTGAGAAAGGTGAATTCAGACTGTGATGTGGATTTTCATGGAAGCAATGGAACCAATAGTAAGAATAACTCTAATGTTTTTAATAGTCAGAGCCCTTTTAATACTCCACCATCTCTATCTTTTTGCCATGACAATGTAATTCAATATCACATGTTAAGTGTTGTATTAGTTCAGTTTCTCTGGTTATTTATTTTTGGATGATTCTGGCTATGATTTGAGATGCAGGCTGCTGATGGTTTTGATTCTAGTGGAGTGCCTGATGAACAGGGTTCAAGGCAGTACAAAAAAGGTCTCTAGATTTCTAATCACTTGATTAATATTGTAGCCTAATCTGCTTGTTCGAAAGCAGTTTTTCAACTCATATTTATCTTACAGAAGTATCATAAACCATCCCTTATATTTATCCATGTAGATGCTTAGAATTATACTTAATAAAAATAGTTTTGCATTATCAGTAATACATGTTCTCTGTACTCAGGCATTGATTGACATTTTAGATCAAGTAGAAAATGTAATATCTGTTGAAGAATCAGTATGTAAGGACGAGGAAACATTCTTAGAAGCTGAAAGATGCCCTGAAGGTAAAGAAAGCTTCTTCTTAATGCCTTCTTATCGGATTGGAGAGTTTCCATTATGGTCCATCAGACATGGAAAACAAGTGTCCAGCTTTGCCTTGCGCTCTTCATTCTATTCTGTGTTGCGGTCTATTAGTCCGTTTTTGTTTCATTCTTTCTGTGCAATTTGTAGTTTGGATAGTTTATTGTGGTTTCGAGCTTTATAGAGGATGTAATATGAACTCTTTAATCCTTACTCCTT